GATCCTATCTTAAAGAAATATATAGTTATAGAGTATTTAGACACTTTGCATCAAGTAGTGAGTATCTTTACAAAGATAAGTAAAACATTCGGGCACTTAGAAGAGAATTAGGTTTGACAAATATACCTTGACTTTGTGTTTAAATATTTTATGCACTTTTATGTTTTTATGAAACAATATGTTAAATGACTTCTTTCTTGCCTACTATGCAATTAGTTAGGGGGAATTTAGGATTTTAAATTAAAATTGATAAAGTGTTCAAAGTATGCTTAAATATTTATTTGTTTGATTGAACATGTTTTCCTTGTCAATTCAGAGTTACCAATACCATTTTTAATGGCCTAAAGTATGCATTATGAATTTTTACCATTTAGTGCACTTTAACTTGAATTTCATGCAACTCTATAATTCATAGGTGTCTTTTTTGTTAAATCTTGTATGAGTGAATGAATGCTTGTATCTTTGTCATAATTTTATGTCTCAAATGGTCATACATGTTGAATGTACTTGATGTATGATAAAATAGCATCTTAGGACTAATTTGCTATAATTTTTTATCATTTCGTGCATATAGTATCAATATTATTTATAAAGTAATGATATTGTTCTTCGTTAGTATCGATACTCTTCGAAAAGTATCGATACTATCATTATAGTATCATAAGAAGTATCAATACTATGATTATAGTATCGTTAGAAGTATCTATACTCTGTATTGATACTATCTATTTCTGCGTAAGAGTACCCATATTAATTTAAATGAGTACTGATACTCAGGGTTTTGAACACTCTATATCTCTCAAAATTCCCATAGTTTCTTCATTTTTTTAAACCCTAATTGTCATTCATCAAACCCCTTCTCTTCTCTATCAAATCGTCATTGATTTACTTCGCTTTTGGGGCAGTTTTGGGCGGTTTTTCACACTCATTGCATGTCTTTCATCTAAATCGAGCTACGTTGCTTCGTTTACTCCTCAAATCGTAAAATCAAGGTATTATGTTAAACCCTAACTTATCTCATTTTTAAATTTAGGCTAAATTCGTGATAGTTTAGGTTAAATCAGTGAATGAGTATTACTTATAAATCATTTTCGCATCATAATCTACCAATTTTCACTAACAATTTTCAATTTTTTAAACTTCATACTAATTATGAATTATTAAAAAAGTGTCTCATTTTTTATATTGTTTTATATATTGTTATACATACACATGTGTGTGTGTATGTAGATTTATATTGTTTACATTTTTTATGCATATATATATGCATACATACTCTTCTACATACATATATATAAATATAACACATTAAATCCTTTGCTTTTTAATTTTTAAAATACCTTGAATATTGCGAACTCTTTTGAGTTTTGGGAAGTGGTGTTAGAATATTTGTACATTTTTTGCAGGTTTCCCTATCCCGAATTTATCCTTAAAATGTCTAAACAAGCCCGTTCTTCCCGATCCAATCCTTCTCCCCGAGCACCTCTTCCTCTTAATCCTATTCCTAACCCCGTTGTTAATCCCAATGAGCTTATCATTCAAATTCATGTTTTAATGAACATGGTCACCAAAACATTTTGCATTGATACTCTGAGTATTTTGAGACCTTACCCCTTATAAGTGAGAACATGCCCTCTCTCTGCCATGACCAAGCTTAATTTCAAATACCTTTCGTAATTATTCTCTTGAAAGCTAGACAATACCTTTAAGATCAAATTGGTTATCTTTCAACAACTTATTCATATTTTCTACTCTAATGTTGTTTGTGTTGTTGACGACGCTCTCAATTTCACTGTTAGTATTCACTCTTATCTCATGAGGCAATTCATCCAAATTGATGTCGCTTATATAGCTAGAGATTTAGGGCTAGAGGTTAAGGGTATAGATAGCGAATGTGATTTTGTTAAACGTCAGGAGGTAAATTTTCCACCCTAGATATTCATGATCCCTTCCTACACCTCATTATCACCCTAGACATTCATGAGCACTTCCTACACCTCATTATCACTTGGTGGTTTTGACCATTAGGAGGTAAATTTTCCACCTTTCGTACTGTAGATATTTGGTGGATCCATTGATTTCAAACCTCTAAAAAATCAACTTTCCCCAAATCATCTTTGACGAGCTTTTCGATGTTATAAATAACTTTCAATCTAAGAAATTTGATACCCTTATTTATGGTTGCTTTCTTAGCCATATCTTTACCAAAGTCGGTATAAAAGTCTCTCTAGATCCTGCTATTCCTCTATCCTCCTACATTGATGTTAAATCTCTTGAGAATTCGGGATGGGAAAAGATTATAACCACGTAGACAAGAAAAGGGAAGCAAACCTAGGCTCTACCTCTGCTACTGCTCCGCCTCCAAATGATGATCCGATTTGTGACGTCGATGATCCAGTGAACCACAATCCTTTCGATCCCTCTCAAGTTGGCGATGACAATGCAAGTGTGATTTCGTCGTACTTTTAGTCATTCATGGAATCGATGGATATAAGGTTTGCCACCATAGAGTCTCACTTCATAGCTTTGGGGACTCGGATTTCTGAGATTGGTGCTAGATAGTTATCCTTGGAGACAATGTATGTGGAGTCCCAACGTGACTTTCATGCAAGATTCAACACCGTTACGGATGGGATCGACGCTCTTTCTCACGATTTTGCTTTCTTTCACTCTCCGTCTTCGGATTACAATCCTCCTCCGTCAGATGCCTGATCGCTTGTCCTTGTTTGATTGTTGCTATTTGCTCATGTTCGACCTTGTAATTTGGCTATTTGGTTTATTTTGGAATTCGGATGTTATTTTACTTTGCTTGTGTTTTTTGCTATTTTATGCACATGAATGCTTTTATTTCATATTTATGTTAGTTTGGATGCTTATTATGATTTTAATGTGATATTTGAGACATTTTACTTTATGATCATTATAATGTTTAAGCATATTATTTATGTTTACTAACCTTGTTTGGTGTAATTGATCATCACAACTTCTCTTTTATATCTTTTTTAAGGCTTTTTGACTTAATATAAAAGGGGAGAAATGTTAGATTAATGGGAGTATCAAAATAAATCTTAAAAGTTTTCAAAAAGATTTGTTATATCAAAAAGGAGATATTGTTGAATCATGCTTTGAGATTTTGATATAACAAAATAATTTTAAAGAAATTTCAAGATTAATTTTAATACAATTTTCAAGTTTATATTCGATTCAACCATTCGAATATAAAATTTTCTTTTAAAGTCAAAAACTCCATTTTTACTTTTTACTATTTTGAAAAACTCAAGTCATTTAATGAAAATAATTTTCAAAGTTTTGTACAAAGAGTTTTGAATCATAATCGAGTCAAAAATCATTTTTTCATAATAGAGTATCGATATTGCAAGAACAGTACCAATATTATTCATGTAGTACCGATACGGGTACCGATACGGGTACTGATACGGGTACCGATACTAATGTGTAAAAATACACTGCAGTACTAATAGTCCCTTTACATTTTTGACAAAACAAATTACAGTATGCTATTTTCGTATCGATTCTCTATTAGAATCAAGACGGGTATCGATACTCTAGGTGTAGTACTGATACTTTGCTATTCTCAACGGTTAGAATTTTGTAATTAATGTAGGAAGTATTGATACTCAAAGTCCGAGTACCGCTACTCAAGGCGTATGGGTTGTATTTATTGAGGAAAAAATTCATCCCAACGGCTCTATTAACTCCCACAATAACCCAAACGGCTATAATTGAATAAAGGAGTATAAAACAAGATTTCAAGTCATATGTGAAGAAAAGAGAATAGAGAAAGTCAAAGCATAGACTTCATTGAGGAAGTTGAACCACTCTAAAATTGCTTGTTTCCAATTTTTCATTTTCTTGCAAAAAGTTTCCAACAATTTTTTATTCGTCAATTCACCCCCTCTTGGATATTCAATTGGTTTGATTGACTCAACAAATTACTTCATTCAAGCTCCTCAAATGGTAAGTATCTTAAAGGCAAACCACAGGTAGGATCCTAACATCTTAAAGGCAAAAAGCTTATTCTTCATGATGTGTGATCGTTCTCATGTGTACGGTTCGGTATGGATTCTAGGGCATTTTCCTGATTATGCTGAAAGTGTGGTAAGGTTGGGTGATGGACATGTCTGTAATATTGCTGTATGCTTGTTGGGATATTGCTATTTAGCTGCATTTTCGGATCATCTTTAGAGAAATAAGAGCAGTTTTGTCCAATCCAGATTAACAGGCAGTTTATGGCTTATTCTGGCTAAGGCGCATGTTTGGTTATTGCATTTGATGAAGGGATCAACTGAATTGGGTTTCATTTCTTTGGTCTGATGGTTCCCTGCATCGTATAGGTTGTTGCAGAAAGTTGGATAGTGCTGGTTCTACTCTTTGGTTAGGTTGCAACTGTCCTCTCGAATATCTGAGGTGGGTTAATTCTATGTGTTTTTGTTCGATGTGCAGCAGCTTGAGTTTCAGAGGTCGGTTAATGGGTTCTTGTCTACATCTTTCCTTCTCATTTTATCAGAGTATCACTGTGTAGTCCAGTTGTACATATTTGGCGCATTCGTCGTGTAATCTCGGTTTCAGCAGCGGTACGAGCACTCTTTTTCCTCTATTTACGTTTCTTTATTAAAAAGAATTGATTTATTTAGGTAGAAATACGTAGACTAAATTAAATAATTTTTTAAATTTTATAAAATTTATATATTTTTATTTTAAATTTAAAAAAAAATTATATACTAATTAAACTAAAAATAAATAAATTCAAGCACTTAAATAAAAAAAACCCATAAACGTTAAATTGAATCAAAAGTCATGTTATTTTAACCCCAAAAAAATCCTATTTGAACAAAGTAATTTAGGTATCAAATTGAACATTTAAGTGTAGTCTTCTACTAAATATATATATTTACCCTTTCTTAATGACGGAATAAAATAAAATTGTTCAAATATAAATACAAAATCGCAGCGCAGCAGCACCAGAAATTCGAATCTGGGAGAATCCAGATTTGCATTTTTGACATTTTCTTTTGGCTATTATCAAGGATGGTAACTAACTAACGCTGTTTAGGCTTTTGATTCTATGAATCAGGAATTTTATTACTATTTTATGATCTTGATATTTCTCTTCATGCCCTTGTTGATTGAATTTAAACTTTGCGCCTTCTCGTTTCTCTTCGGATCTGCGACTTGATTCTGCCGAGATTTTGTTTTTGTTTCTTTTAATATCATTTTTTTTGGATAAGTAAATTATATTCCATCCAAAAAAAAGAATGCAGCTCAGCTGCAACAATACAAAGCAAGTATCAGCACTATAACAGACCCCAACTTATGCACATACGCCTATTAACATCATCGATCCTATGTATGCAATGACTATACAATTTGGTTTTAACAGACTCTCTGATTCTATTTATAATACTATCAACAGAACGAGAAAAACCTCTGAAACTTCTGTAGTTGCGTTCCTCCCAAATATAATACAGGTAGTCAGTCCAAGCAAGTTTGAGAATCCGCACACGGAGGGAATTGCCCCTCAAGTTATCAATCAGCCAGTTGAGGCGATCATCCCAGTTAAACAAGTCAGATCGCAGTCCACAAGAAATAAGAACAGCATTCCATACATCCCTGACAAAAGGACAGTCTGCAAACAAATGGTCTCGGGACTCCAAACCAGTCCCACACACAACACATCCAGCTTCCATAGTCAAACCAAACTGAACCAGCCTATCCTTGGTAGGCAGTCTATCAAGGATGGCCATCCAGGAAATGAGAGAAAATTTAGAAATATGGATAGGGAACCAAATAATCCTGTGCCATCTGACATTTTCCTTGCAAATCCGAACCCTTTCCCAAATCCACTTGCCTCTAACCAGGCTCAAGTCGGAAAAAGGCAAAAACATACTCTTAGCTACCTCTCTAAGCTTCAAAAGCTTCTTTAAAATCCAACTAAAGTGGGCTCAAATTTCAACCTCCCAAAAGCTCATTATTTTAAAACAGTATTCCTGGATCCAGGCAATCCAAAGAGAACCTTCGTTTGCCAAAATGTTTCTAATGAGCAACAGGTTTTACTCCACAGGGCAAGGTCCCTAAGACGAAGGCCACCCTCGGATTTTAAAGAACAAACCTGATTCCAGCCTACACGAGCACCTCTAGCAGGGGCATCACAGCCTTTCCAAAAAAATCTCATGCAAAGTCTCTCAATGTCATTGATGATACCCTTAGGGAGGATGAGTTGTCTGCTCCAATAGTTAAAAATGCTAAATAAAACAGTTTTAACCAATTGCAGCCTACCCCCAAAACTTAAATTCTTGCTAGATCATTATCTCAATTTGCCTTTAACCCTCTCCAACAAGGCAAAACAGTCCCTCCCTGTCAGCTTACGAGTAACAAGGGGTACCCCAAGGTACCTGACAGGGAGATGAGCCAGCCTAAACCCAGTAGCTGACTGAATCAGATCCAGAGCATTATCCTTCAAGCCACAGGCAAAAAACTCAGTTTTCATAGCATTCAGCTTGAGTCCTGATATATCATAGAAGAGCTCTAAAGTACTTAGCACACCCAGCATAGAGTCAAGAGACCCATGGCAGAAAACTAATAAGTCATCAGAAAAACTAAGATGAGTGAAGGGGATTCTTTTACATTTAGGGTGATATCTGAAGATCCCATGCCTGGCAGCAGCATTCAGCAGAGAAGATAACACATTCATCACAATGACAAAAAGGTAAGGGGATAGGGGATCCCCCTGCCTAATCCCCCTAGCCCCCCTAAAATTCCCCACCAAACTACCATTCAGACAAACAGAAAACATGGGAGTAGTGACACAGGCCTTAACCCAATTACAACAAATATCAGGAATCCCCATAGCCCCAAGCATAGAAAGCAGAAATTCCCAATTAACTGAATCAAAGGCCTTCTGTAAATCAATTTTGACTGCACATCTAAGAGAAAGGATCTTCCTAGAGTAACCTTTCACAATCTCCTGGGCTAAGAGTGTTATCAACAATATTCCTCCCCTTAACAAAAGCATACTGATTATGGGAAATCATATCAGGGAAGTAAGGAGTAAGCCTATTAACCAGTACTCTAGTGATAGTTTTGTAGACTACTGAACAGCAGAAAATAGGTCTAAATTCCTTGGCAAAGCAAGCATTAAGGGACTTAGGGATCAAGACCAAGGCAGTGGCATTAAAGGCAGACAGTAAACAAGAGGAGTGAAAGAAATACCTCACATCTGAAGTGAAATCACTGCCAATAATGTCCCAGGCAACTTTGAAGAAACCAGCAGTGAAACCATTAGGACCAGGGCTCTTGTCCTTCCCTTTCCTAAGAAGGGCATCTTTGATCTCCTTATCACTTACCTTCTTAGTGAGAGAGGAGGCAACACCATCAGGGAGGGTGTAATTTAGCAAATCCCTCAAAGTTTCAACAGAACAGCCTTTAACAAAAGGATCAGGGGAACCAATGAGACTAGTAAAAAATCCTACTCGTTCAGCTGAAATTCCTTCGAAAGATTCATGAATCTGTCCATCCTCACCTCTAATGACCCTTATAGTGTTCTTCTTTTTATTAGCTTATAACTTTTGATAGAAGAACTTGGTGTTCAAGTCATCCTCTCTAAGCCAGGACACCTTAGCATGCTGCCTATAAAAATCAGATTCTACAACTTCCAAGTCAATAAGCTCAGCATGGATCCTTCTCTCATCATCAATCCTCCTCTGGCTTGAATGAGCGAGGTTAAAAATCTGAATATACTCCAGTTCAGCCCTTTTAAGTCTTACTCTACCAGAAATGTCAGAGAAAAACAGCCTATTAAATCCCCTAAGCAAAGGCTTAAGCCTCTTTATCTTATTGAACAAGCAGTTCATTGCAGAACCTCCACACTACTGCTGCCATGAATCCCTAACAGTAGCCAAGAAGTGTTCATAATTAGTCCAGCAGTTGAAGAACTTAAAAGGCTTGGGTTTCCTAGTCATAGCAAGCTTATGAGTCCACATCAGTCCAAGGCAGTGATCAGATTCCCCCTATGCTTTGAATTCCACGAAAGAATATGGAAAATCCAGAAGCCATTAGTCATTTACTAAGATTCTATCAAGCTTCTTGGCCAGGTAAGAGACTTCTTGTTTATTTGACCAGGTGAATAAGGGACCAAAAAAAGGGTGATCCATGAGATCAAGCCCCTCCAAACAATCCTGGAAGTCCTTCATATCAGATGTGCAATGAATACCCAAGATGTCAAAATCAGAACTCTCCTCAGACTTGGCAATGATATTGAAATCCCCACTAACCAACCAAGAGGAGGGACCAATATCCTTCCCAACAGTACTTAAATGCTCCCATAAACCCCTTCTAACAACACCATTGTTACTGCCATAAATACCAGTAATGGCAATACTATGACCATCAGCAGCCCCATTAATAGTAATAACTTGATCAAAACTTCTAAAAATATAAAACATCAGATGATTCCTCCAAAAGATCCAAATTCTTCCACCTTCAACAAACTCATAATTCTCAGCAAACTTCCAATCATCAGACAAGGCAACAATGAATATGTCAGAATTATCACTTTTAATTCGAGTTTACATCAAACATATGACATCAGTACCACAAGAGATAAGTCTCCTAAATACCTTCAACTATTTAAGGGGATTGTTGATCCCCCTAACATTCCAGAAAAAGACTAGCATCACAAAGAGGGGAGAGGGGAAGCACTACTGCCTGTGCTCAAACCAACGACATTACCTCTAGCTTTATCGAGATGATCCTTCTTTTTAGATTTCATTTCATTGAGAATCATAGCCACACCCATGGAAGTCACACGAGCTTTCCTCGGACCATCAGCCACAGTCTCCAATTTACTATAGGAACCAACAACATCTTTTTTCCTACCCTTCGGTTTCTTCTTCAAAGAGTCTTGAATAGATGGGAAATCCCCATGAACAGCTACCTGAGGACAAGCAGTAGTTGTATCATCCTGGATCACAACAGTAGCACGATCCTGGGAAGAATTAGAAGTAGCAAGAGCCTGAGGGGAACTATCAGAGAAACTCTTAACATCCTCCATATTAGGCACAGAGGGTTCTTGCAAATCTAGAACTGTTGTCATCGTAGCCGAGCCAACTTGTAAGTCCAGCCTTTAATCTTAACAGAATTGATAAAAGGGAGATTGTAGCTCGTGTCCTTGGATGGGTTAGCAGGATCAGCCAGCCCCAAGAAAACAGAGGCAGTTTTTGGCAGAGGGTTTTTACTAACAGAAGCTACAATATTACTATCTTTTTTCCTCCAAACTTGCACCTCTTTATGTTTCTGAGCAGGAAGCCTAGCCTCAGAACAAGCATGAACATGGTGCCCAAATGTCTTGCACTTATCACAGCATTTGGGAGTCCAAGGCACATACACCTTAATAGCCACAGTGGAACCATCCTTTAAAACAACATGGACAAAATTTGGAATAACAGTTCCAGCTTCAACTTCTACGTAAATTTTAGCAAATTCCAATCGCTCTCTTCAAGCCGTAGTAGAGTCCATGTACAAATGGCAACCTAAGGCATTAGAAATGTAGCTCAAACCCTTCTGAGAGTAGAGTTCTAATGGAACATTATAAAATTAAACCCAAATTGGCATAAAGGACAGATCGAAGCTAAGCTTATGCATACCAGGCGTCCAGATCCTCAGCACTAATGGTTTGTTATAAACATGCCAAGGTCCATAATCCAAGACCCAATCCCTCAACCCAACATCAAGAAATGTAAACACAAAGAGATTAAGGTCGGCAAGACTGACCTTGACTCGCGAAGAATTCCCCTAAATTGTTTCAACAATGCGTTGCATAGATCCAAAATTTGGGGCTCAGCCAATGAACTGACCCATTAAAGCGAGGTTCCAATCGGCAATTCCTTCATCAATCACCTCGGTTGGGGGAATGACAATAGTCACTCCATCGCGGAGCTCAGGGGGAAAGAAGTCAAGAGAATGCTTCTTTGAACCCACAAAGAGCTTCTTCCAGTCCAGATTCAAGGAGTCAGGATCCATACAAAAAACGAGAGAACAACCTAGATAAACTCCAGAAAGAAAAGACGAGAAGAAATCAGAAGCAAGGAAGAAGAAATGAGAGAACATTAGACCCGCTAACGTGCGCCCAGAGAACCTCCATTGCCCAACAATGATACGAGGATGCTTATTTTGATAGTTATATTTACCATAAATGATTCATTTTGATAGTTCCTCTGATGTATTGTTAGATCCAATTTTCTTCTGATTTTTTATCATATTTCGTCATACTTAAACATTTTTATTTAATGCTTATTTTTCATTTTGGAATATTTGAGTTTGACTACATAATTTTGGTGATTTTTATAATTTTATGTCTAATAAAACCTTGTTGTTTTAATGGTTTCACTTTCTCAGTGAGTCATTTATCGTATTGTTTCTCCTTGGGTGGAAATTTTAAGGTTCTTGTTGATATGGAGGAAATGCCATTCCTTATACTTAAGCTGTTGAATTTTTTCCATGAAGAAGCATGCTAACAGGATGGCCAAAATGACATGTTACTAGTTGTGTGATATAACTAGAAATTCACATAGATAACATTAGGTGCTTGAAGTTTTGGCTTCTTGAGGATCAACTTTGCCTGCAAGGATCTAATGTTAATTTATCTTACACTTTATATAAACTGACTCTTGGCCCTCATAGTGGGAGCAAAGAAAAGAATTTGTGTTAATTTTTGGATCTGATTATCACAGTGATATATATATATATATATATATATACATATTTTGTTCTAGCTTTACTCTGCTATAATAGATTGATTTCACTTTAGAAACCTAAAAGCGAGCTTCATTTTCAGGTTGTTGACTTATTTTATTGCTTGTATATGTAGCATATGAGTCTCTTTTGTGATTCAGATTCACTTTGTACTTTTAATTAGCCGACAAGGGAAAGTTAGGTTGACAAAATGGTATTCTCCTCATTCTCAGAAGGAAAGAACAAAGGTATGACCTGACTATCACATTTGATTATCTGCAATGGTTATTTTTGTAAAGTTTGCACTTAACGCAAAAAATCTTTGTAATTATAAGATTCTGGTTCATTTTTCCTTATCTTTAATACTTTATTGGTGCTCTTTTTGAAGTCGGTCTTGCCTTCATTATATTAAGGCTTTATGGAATCTGTTTTGAGAAGGTTATCCGTGAGCTTGGTGGAGTAATTCTCAGAAGAGGGCCCAAACTCTGTAATTTTGTGGATTGGAGAGGATTTAAAGTTGTTTACAAAAGGTAATACTTCCATAAGTTAGTGAGACCTTTTTTATTAGGAATCTATTTTACCATTTCAGACATTTATCAACTTTGTTGGGATAAATTACGCAGATATGCTAGTCTTTACTTCTGCATGTGCATTGACCAGGATGACAATGAGTTAGAGGTTCTAGAGATCATTCATCACTTTGTTGAGATACTTGATCGATACTTTGGCAGTGTGAGTGAACTTAAACTTTTCTCTTCATTGAATTATTGATGTTCTATTGTGTTTTATCTGATTGTGAATTAATTTATATCCAGGTCTGTGAATTGGACTTGATCTTCAACTTCCATAAGGTACAACTGTTATGCTTGTCATGCACGTGTTGTTTGGGTTCTGTTTCCTGTTCTTTTCAGAGCAGTTTACATCTAAATCCTTGTGTTTTATGTAAACTGTGCTCTCATTCATTTAATCATTAGCAACAGTTATCCTCCAACTCTATAACCAATCCATTCTTCTCATTCCTTAACATACCATCCATATCCTCCTTTTGTATTTATTTGAATTATAAACTTTAAATCTCCATGCTTCCATACCAGTGTGTCCCTTGATTTTGTCTAGTCTCAACTCAAGTATCATTAAGAAGCACTTAGCGTTCATCGTCTGAAATGATGCCAGTCAATTGAGAGATGTGCTTTCTTCCCGTATGAATCATAATTGTTTTTTCTACTTTCCATATAAATCCCCAAACAGTGTTAAATCTTGTGGTGGGATGTTAACGATGTTGTTGAGGAAAGGAATTATATAGTTGAGAATTGATGAAAATCAGATCTCTAAGAAAAGCTTTTCTTCCCCCAAAATTTTAGTACTTCTCAAATTATGAAATCTCATGATTCAAAGGCCTAGCATTTACATAAGAGTTCTTTTGGTTTTCTATGGAAGGTGCTCATTCCAAAGGTATTTGGACGTAAATAGCATTGTTGTCAAAGATTATAAATCATTTATCATAATAAAGGGTCTTTTCTTTAGCTCTTTGCTGCTATTTGACATTGAAGGCCTATTATGAATTGGATGAACTCTTGCTTGCTGGTGACCTTCAAGAATCGAGCAAGAAAACTGTTGCACGTTTAATAGCTGCACAGGTAGAATTTTTACCTTGCATCGTTAAAAAATTCTTGCAAGTTGTGTGTCATAATTTCCAATTTTCTGAGAGAACTGCTTCGTTGAGCCGTAGGATTAACTGGTGGAGACGGCGAAAGAGCAGACTAGTTCCATTAGCAACATAATTGCACAGGCCACAAAGTAGTTTATGACCAGATCCATTGCGGATTTGCCATTTGTGTTCGGGTTGATTTTGGCGTGTCATCTGTTCTAAACTCTTTATTCTTTCTTTCTGAATTTTAGAACTTAATTGCCATGTTTATGAATGTAGATTTTGGGTCTTTGTAGAATTGATGTCATATAATCATGTATTATGTATACGGTCATGTATCTGGGCTATTACCGTTCATTTGTTGGCTATAACCTGCAACAGGCATCTTTAATATTTTTAAGGTAAAGTACACAAACAACACTAAATTATGTTGAAATGATTTATTTGATCACTGAAATTTTAGAAATTACAAAATGTATGATAATATAGTGTAACCCCTAGACCTGGCCTATACGAAACGATAAGATCTAGCGGATTACAAATAAAAAAATATTTTCAAAACATTTTCAACACTTTAAGAAAAAAATCAAAACCTCTTTCAAAACATACTTATAATCGAAAAACCCAAAACAAGTAATATAAAATATGAAATATCACTCGTGAACCAAATTACCCATAACCAGTGACAAGATTAACACATCTATCAGAGGTGATAGGAAAATAGGCCATAAAATAAGTGTATCAAAATAATAGGCTCATGTCTCCAATAAAGGCAGTTCGGAAGATTAAAATATTACAACAAAATATAATGTATGAAATGTGTTGATCCTCCAAATGTCGATCTGGGTGACTGTCCAAAATATTTGAAAAGGGAAAGATGGGGAGTGAGCTAGAGAGCTCAGTGTGTTCCAACAGTGCAATGTAAAACATACGAATAATTTTTTAAAAAAAATAATTTAGCAGAGTATCATAAGAATACTAGTGAGGTTTTTATTTCAAAAACAGATAATTACCCTCCAACCGAACACCAAATACAGTCCCACATAATTGCATTCATAAGGACTTACCTTAGGCCCAAAAGAACTAAGAGTCAACCTAAGGGAACACCTTGGATCCATAAGGACTTACCCTAGGCGAAGCGTAGGAACCACCTGATGGGAGAGCCCTAAGGTCCATAAGGACTTACCACAATGCACAAAGCAAATGAGCCACGCTATGGAAGTGTCATAGGATCCATAAGGTCTTACCACTAGGTCCATTGGGACCCATGAGCCCACCCAAGGATCGTCTTAGGTTCATAAAGAATTATCAGCTTAATCGAAGTTGAACCAACAAAGTTTCCATTGTTCATCCCGAAATTCCAGTGAAAACGATTTCATACAGTACGAATAAATCAGGATAATCATAGGCCAGACATATCTCAGTAAACAATAACCAGAGAACATGTATCAGTCAATTCGGAATTTAAAACCAGTAAAAAGGATATCAGGGAATCCATGAAATCAGTAAACTAGAATCAGGCTTTTCAATTATTTAAATAGGTTATATTTCAATTCAGTTAAAATATTCATGTGCACATGACAATTCAGACATGTAGTTAAAAACAAATATGTAGCACACCAAGAACACACCTCGCAAAATGGGTCGGTTTGAGAGATCTATTGAACACTGGTCTCACTATGAACAAAAACAGTACACGATCCTGAATCGGATTAGATCAGTGCTATTATCAGAATAATATACTGAACAGAGTATTTAACAGTGTTACGGAATTACACGAGTAATCACGACTCACGCGGTCAGGCGGAACGAGAGGAGATAGGTCGAGCAAACAACATGTCAGGAGAATCACAAGTACCTAACATAACCAAAGTCATAAACCAGTCCTTGCCTTTTCCTTATTTTTCCCTAAACAACTTAATAAAATTAATTATGTCAGCTCGAGTTTGGAGGTTAATTTAGAAGTTTTTGGGGTAAAATTTGGTAAAACGAACATCGGATTCAAACTCAAGATGCAAATAAAAAAAAAATAATTTTTCAAAAATTTTAATTTTTTTATCAAAGTAAACGATCAACGAGTCTGGTCAACAATCCAGGTCAACAGATTGAGTCGATCGAGTTGACTCATTCCAAAAACTTCAACAAGAAACAATACCCACGTGCGATGGTGTCGCGTGTAGCGGGTGACGGGGACGAGGATGATGGCCAATTAGTCCCGCAGCAGCCAAGCCGAGACTCATCCTTCACGGAGGTCGACGGAGGCGATGCTTGTGAGATGAAAAAACCGACTGGGGTTTGATCGAAAATGTCTGATGAACCTAACGGCATCTGCTGTAAGGTTAGCAAGGGTCGAGATCGATGCGAAAACGACAAAACAGTGATGGCGATGAGGGTTCTTTGACGAAGCTTCGTCGATTGATTTGTGAGGAACGACAACCCCAAATATGACGGGCTGATTGGGTTTTGCTCGGCGTGGGACGATGGTCACGTTGGTGATGCGACGCGACGCGACCTGTGTTCACCCGTGGCAGACGGAATTGCAAGGAGAACAATGGTGGGTTTTAGGTTTTTCGACGAAACTTCACCGGGTTCTCCATGTCGATCGATGTCGATTTACGGGGAATTAACAGAGGGGTTTTGACCAGGAGACGAGGGGGAATGACGAGGGGGCGGTGATGCACACCACCGCTGGTCGAAAGTAGTCGAACGTGGACAGGTGAGATTAGGTCGGGTTTTGCTCAGAATTTTGGAAGCTTTTGTAAAAAGGATTCTAAGTTGGGAAATTAAAATTGGGAATTAAGGGAAATGGGTAATTTCTCATTTTAAGTCCTTGAACAAAAGAAAGTTTGTAGAACATATCTCAAATCTCTAAAATTTCACAAATTGATACCTCGAAAGAAAGGTAAAAATTATCAGTCCAAAATTTTCAAGCTGTACATTAGAGATTTTATAGGAAATTTTGACTAAAAATATTCAACTGCCAGCTCATATAAACCATATATTTGTCGTTAAGGCAAATGCAATCAATTTTTTTTCACTTCTCGAATTGATTTTCAAAACATTTACTTAAAATTAATAAATTCTATTCAAAATATTTTATTGTTAAGTAAAAGTGACAAATGGACATTTTATAAATTAAAATAAATACATAACATAAAAATACAATACACAAAAGCATGTGATGGTTAAAAAACATATATAAATGTATATACATACATATAACACAAAATAATATACATTCATGAAGTATAAAAACATAATGCGAAAATCAAACACCATATTAAAGTTTATAAAAAAAACTAAATAATTACAAAATGCTTAATAGATACATTAATATTTAATATACATATATGTAAATTAGAACAATGGCTAATGTATACGAAGTGGGAATTAAAAATTCAAACTAAACACATATCTCGCATTAATCTTAAAGGACTAAAATGAAGAGTAAAATAAATACACTGACATATATGCGAAATTAACAAAATCAAAATAAGGATCGGATAGAGAATTAATAAATACAGAGTGATTGATAAAAATAACCTAAACCATGATTAAGATTAACAATCCAAAAACTAGATACTCAAATCGAAAATATCGACAAAATAATGAAATAAAACCAATTTAGGACTAAGTCATAAGAACAACAATCTCACTAACACAAATGTAAACATAGCAAAACCCATGGTGCAGCATGCAAATCTTATACAGTATGAGCATTAGAAACACAATAAATCCATAAATAGCATTTGGGACTAAAATGGTATATGTCAGAAATATGGAGGGATAATTACAAGATTTATCAAAATGCATCCATATAAGAAGTGACCGAAATAAAAAAAACGTAAACTTCATGGTCAGAATAAAAAATAAGCAAACATAGTATAATCTATCAAAATGGTGACTTAAACGTGAACATTTAAAGATAAAGGCTCAAAATGAGATAATATAACTTTTCATTTAATGACTAAAACAGAATGATACAAATACACGGGGACCTATAGTGCTATTAGACCTTTTTTACATAACACGCAGCCCCTTCTTTCTACCAAACAGCGTCGTTTTGGGTCTATTATAACACAAAATAAGGGTTTCGAAACCCTTGCTTTTCTCATTCTCAGCCGCATCCCAAAACCAAAGAGGAGAGAACTCTCTTCCTCCCAAACTGTTCTTCCCGTTTCCTCTTCTCCTTTTCTTCTCTTCTCACCGACGAAGAACACGCAACCCCGGCCATCGTAGATCGGTGGCCATGGGGGTTTCACACACCACACAGCCTCACCTAAAACCCAACCTAAAAAACTAGACCCTCTTCACCACAACCAAAAATTAAAAACCCCAAGCCCCAAAGATAAGAACCTTACCTCCTAAAATAGAGTCCAACCGCTCCGATGAAGCAGCTGTGGCCGGATCAGTTAAGGGTAAATCTCTTCCTTCTTTCTCTATTTTCTTTTAGTTTTCTGTTTTTTTTTAATTTGGGGCTCGAATCGTTCACCCTCCCTCTCTTGATTTTTTTCCAATGTTCTTCTCTCGGTTTCCCCCTATTTTTCTCTCGTTTTTCCTTGAAAACCCAAATGGTTCCCAACGGTTCTCTCTGCCTTCTTTTTATCTTATTTATAATTGATTTGGTGATAATGATGAACTCCACATGGTAGGGGCATGGCTCTCTGACTTGGTAGGATTAAATCCCGATTTTTTTGGGATTTAATTTGGTTTTTTAAATGGGTTTTTATATTTGATGGATTTGCTCTGATTTGGTTGCTGTTTTCTGTTGCTTGTCATTGTTGGATTGATTTGTTCAAATCGGCTCTGACGGCGGCGAGGGGAAGCTCGACTGGGAAGCTGGTGTTAACGGCGGCGTCTGGGAGCTGGAAGACCAAGCGGCTGAACTTTGGTTTAGGGTTTTAAAAACCCTAAAATTGTTGGGTTGTCACATGCTGGGCTCGGGTCGGATCACTGCTAGTGGTGGGTTGGCTTAGTTGGATTAGCCTGGCGTTGGGCTTGTAATCTGGGTTCCTGTTTTGTGGGCTGCCAGTGGGTCTCAGTTGGGCCTCGGGTTGTAAAGCCTGTAAAACAAAATATGTAAAATTAATTAATAATAATAATATCAATATAGATAATAATAAATAATAATTAATACTTTTTTGATCCGAGTGTCTAAGATGACAGTAAACTTTTGAAGTGTCACGTGCCTTTATAAAAGGAAATGAAAGATCTTTCCTTGTAACAAGGTAATTTGGTCAATAAAATTTGCATATAGGAAGCAGCCATACGTTGGTAAATTCAAATATTCCCAAACAGTGAGTTAAATGTGCAACTTTGAAAAATA